TCAACTGGTACTGTAAATAGCTTTTTCATACTTAAGTAATCGCTTTTTCCACTGATATCCTATCTTTCAGTGCACGAATCGGTCTACACTCGCTACTACGACATCGCTGCGATCATTTTGCATGAAAACTTTCGCGCAACCGGCACTCAGGTGCGCAATGACATTGCACTTCTGCGCACGCGTCAAACGATCGAGTGGAATCGCGGCGTCGCTCCCGCCTGCCTGCCGTTTCGTTCGTTCGCGGATGGAGAGGATGGTCGCAAGCCGCCAATAGCAGGTCAGCGCGTGGAGACCGCCGGCTGGGGCAGCATTTCATTTGGTGGTCCTCAATCGCCGCTTCTGCGCACCGCACTGCTGGATGTGCTCGACGTTGATGAGTGTCGCAGCGCGCTGGGCGCTGTGCCGCCTGCAACATTCTGCACCTTTACACCGGGACGGGACACTTGCCAATATGACTCGGGCGGTGGGTTATATTTGCGCGAGGGCGGGCGCCTCTTTGTGGTGGGCATTGTAAGTTATGGATACGGGTGCGCCACACGACGGCCTTCGGTGAATACGAAGGTGGCATCGTATATACGTTGGATTAAGAGTCAGACGTCGCAGGTGGCATATTGTATAAAGTAGGGAGAGGCTGTGAGGTAAAAAATATTTTAAGTTGTTGACATTTTGTACTTACATACATTTAACAAAAAAAATTAATTATATGTTCACTTATGTTTTTAGAAATATCTTTTCCATACTTAGGCGGTTAGAGAGATTTTTTAGTATGAGCGAAAGAAAAGATTTTAGGCGCGTCGAATTTAAAATACAGTTGATGCTAAACTTTTTTGCACGTATTGTATTTTTGACTGATTTTCCGAGTACCTAAATCGTCTTATGAGGAACGAATATACAGTCCTTCTTTCACTTTCTTTCTGCATATATAGTATAGTTTGTTTGCTATTCACATACGAGTTCGTGTGCATTTCTTTTAGCTATTCGCTGTCTAGCCAGCAGTTTTTATGCTTTCCTTGTACACTATTGATTTTCTTCTGCCGTAGTGTGAAATCTTAAAATTGACAATGCGATTTTAAGAGTTCTGCTGTGGTTAATCTAGGCAATTTGAAGCAGCCATTTTTACCTGAAATTTTCCTCCCCATTCCCATGGCAATGACAGAACTCATCGCATGGCAATTGCTTTTACAGCTGCGCCTAAAACTTTAACGCCAAATATAAGCATTGTTTCTTTGTTGTCAATAAACCCAACAGGTCATAGCAAACTTTATTGGAAATTGTCATTATTAACAGCCCTATTCTAACAAAGGCCACAAAATGCAGCCCATCTCTATTGAGCTTTCTACTGCGCCTCAAAGTATGCCGCTACACAAAACAAAAACCGTGGTAAAATAAATTTTTGTAAATTTTGGTCCATTTCTTTAGTTAATTAGAAATCAAAAAAGTGATGCGCTGAGCTTTGTGACATTTCTAGAATAGGGCGGTTAAGCTCTTAAAGCCAAGTTTTTGCGGCACACTTTTAGGCGCAGTAGTTAAATCATGTTTGTCATTGGCGTGGGAATACAGCAGTTACTTTTAGGCTATTGTGTGCGCAAAATATTAATTATCTCCCATAAGTATTTCTGTAAATTAATTAGAATTACTGCTTTCATGCGCAATCACAATCAACCCATCCCTAATAAGTATCTACTCCAAATGCTTATCTTCAACTCCATTCGTTGGTTACCTGAAGGCAAATGCTCAATTGCGATAGGTGTCAATTTTAACACTTACGCTCGAACGCAAATCAATCGTAGGCATTCAACGCTCGAAATCATTTGACAAACAGCTCAATAACTCTGCCACTTGGCCCACCCAGCCAGCATTACTCACATTATATTTGCGCTCTTTTCGCCACCTATACATAGCTGCTACTCAGCTACTCAATTAAACGGAAATGTTAACTAATTAGCGCCTGCAAGTATGCAATACGCCTTAGCGTTGAATGAGCACTGGCATATCATAGGTGTGATGGCTTTATAGAAAAACGTCGCACGAAAAAAGGACGAGATGCGCGTATTCAATCGACAGCATTGACAGGTTTCCAATTAAATATTTTATTACGATATACAGAGAAGTGGTGGTGGCTGCAGCCAGTTTTGACATGTCAATATACAGTAAAAGTAGCTACACACTTTTTATTTTTTACTCGTGTGAAATTTGAGCTACATATTTGTTTCCCGCAACCCTTTCGCGTCAAGAGCCAACATTTCGCTTTGGCGATTTCTTTTCAAACAGTGTTAAATAATTAAAATGCTAACGCATAACATATGAAGCATGCTTTTAAGCTTAGTGAGGGAATAGTATGGCATGCTTGCACGCCCAGAAGTATGTGATGTGTTTCGTTTTCGATTTAAAATGCAATTTTCATTCGCTTTATTTTTGATATTGCCTACTTGCAGGCGCTTAGCTAGAGAATGATATGCAAAATTCATTTGTTAGGCGAGACAAATATTTATTCGGTTCCCCGCAGGTCTTGAAATATTTTTTGAAGTAAGATTTTCTAAAATACTTT